AACTATATATATATTATAAACATCATTTAAAAAATTTTTAATATTCATTTTTTAGTTGTAACTGGACACAATCTCTTTATTTTATTTATTTATGTTATTACAGATTTTTTATGTTGTTGTAACTACATGTAAGCCTCATGATTACAACTTTATATTTTTTCCTTTAAATATTTTTATACCTGTAAAGAATTGAAAATATAAGAAATATGTGTATAATTGCATTGAGGTTCCTAAGACCACTGCAGATTTGGTGATGTGCTCACTGGACTCAGCATAAAATCATGTTCACATTTAAGATTTATTTCAGTGAAAGAATGAATGTAAAGCAAAATCAGCCAGGCATAAAGGATTATGATTCAAAGACTGGAGTAAACCAGCAAAGAGTTTTAAAGTCCTCTCCAAGTAGGTTCACATAGGCTATGCTTAATTCTTTCAGCAGTGAATTCTATCATTATGCACAAAGTGCTCACTACCAGTAAAGCTCATCTGAGCCTTGGGGTCCAGGGATTTTATTGGAGGTTGGTTATGTAGGGCTGATTATGTAGAGATTATTTTAGCCACCGAAATTTCAGACTCCTGGAAATGAGGAATTGTTCACCACTTTTGTGTACAAGCACTTTAATTAGAAAGAACCACCCTTATCATTTAAGGAAGTTTTAGATGAGCATAGAGAACTGCTTGCCATTCAAGTTCCGAGATGCTAGTGGAAGGTCAATTTTGCAAGCAGGCCTTTTTAAAGAACAGTCTCATTTCTGCTATTAACTCTTCTGCTTAGTAGTCTTTTATGTCTCTTGTATATTTACCATTTCCAGTGGCCTTATTCCTTCCTCCAAAACCATGTTAACATCTACTATCATTTCCATTAACAAATACTGTGAAGAACTTCCTTTAATGTTTTCTGTAGTATATGTCTGCTGGTGATGAATTTTCTATTTGCATTTTTCTGAATTGTCTGAATTCCCCTTCACTTTTTTTTTTTTAATTTGGGGTCTTGCTATGTTGTGATGGTAGGCCTCAAATTTGCATTCCTTTTCCCTTTAATCTCCTGAGTAGCTAGGATTATAGGTATATCCCAAAATGACTAACTTTCTTTTCGTTTTTGCTGTTTGATTGGCTATAGATTTATATGTTCAATCTGTTATTTAGCCCTTTAACAATTGTTTCATTGTCTTCTCTTCTCCATTGTTCTTGACAATAAGTCAATACCATTTGTATTTCTCTTCCCCTCCTGTATAGAATGTGTTGTTTTTCTCTCATTGCTTTCAAAACTTTTTCTAACTTTCCAGTGCTGTAGTCTCTGAACACTTTGCTCTAAGTCTAACACAAGCCAGTAAAGCTCTGCCTTTTTTTTGCCACTCCAAGAGACACAGAATACAAAGAATACAAAGTGCTTTCTGGCAAATCTCAGAGATATTATTTCTGTATTCCAAGGGTGGATTCTTCTAAGTTATGTCTGGTTTTTAGTTGTTTGTTTGGGTTTTGGTTATTTTTGTTTGTTTCAGTACTTTCAAATAGTATTTTTTAAAAATATTTTATTCCTATTTTATGATGTGTTCTATGCCGGGAGATGATGTTAAGCTACCATTCCATTTCTGGAAGCCAGAGGTTCTTAATGTCTACCTCTACAGATTACTGCAGTGTTTCATATCTCTGATTTTGTACTTTTCATTTTGTCTATTGCATTTAAATTTAGAGATATTAATTTCTGTTTTGTTCTTTCAAATCTTTTCTCAAATATCACCTCCCTGGAGCATCTCCTTATTATGTTTCTTTAACTTAAGTACCCTCCTTCTGTGATCTTTATTTATTTTATTATACTAATTATTGGATTTATTTGCCCTTCATTACCTTTAGGTCAAGGATTGTACAGTTTATATTTGAATCCAAGTGCCTATAACAATGCTTTGCATATGAAAGCATTTAATATGTTTTTTAAAAAAATATTTTTAGTTGTAGATGGACCTAATACCTTTATTTTGCTTATTTTTATGTGATGCCAAGGATCAAACCCAGTGCCTCACATGTGCTAGGCAAGCACTCTAACACTGAACTACAGCCGCAGCCCATAAGTATATGTTTCAATTAATTAATGTAGGCTGTAGCTGTAGCCCAGTATTAGAGAACTTTTCTAGCATGCATAAAACCCTGGGTTCCATTCACAGCACCCAAAAATAAATAAATAAATTTGTTAGTTTTGGATCTTTGTTTAATTTTTTGAGTCTTAAGTCATCTTTCATTTTTAATATATTATGGATGCAAAAGAATTTTTTTATTGTTGTTTGTGTTGTGGTACTAGGAATGGAAGCTATGGCCTCACACATGCTAGGAGTACTATACTCCTGAGTTGTTGAGAGCCACAACTGAAGGGGCCCCAGCAAACTTCCAGCTGCCAGCTGATTGGCTCCTCCGCGTGATGCTCATTGGGCTGTTTCCCCACCCTTTCAGACCACAGAGCTGCTCATGGGGGGACATTTTTTGGCTCCACCCAGGTGACCCAGCTAATCAGCCTCAAGAGCAGGAGGAGTGGGGGGGTGGTGGTGGTTGAGAGGCTTGTGGGAAGCCAGTGGTTGGGCTCTGAGGGAATTCCTCAAGAGCTGGTGTGGTGCGGCTTGCCGTGTTTGTGTGTGTGTGTGTGTGTGTGTTTTCTAAAAATAAAGTTCGTTTCTGCTTGATAAGTGGCTCGTGAATTGTGCCCAGCCAGACTGCGGCACTGAGCTACATACCTAGCCCTTTTTAAAGAATTTTATTTCAAGATAGGTCTTGCCAAGTTGCCCAGGCTGGCCTGGAACTTGCAATCCTCCTACCTTAGCCTCTTTAGTAGCTGGGATTATAGGCATGCACCACCACATTCAGCTAAAAGAAATATTTTAATGATTTTATACTACTTTATCAATTTTTCACATTAATTTCATTAGTGTTATTGGTTTATAGTTTAACTCATTCTGAAGAAAGAATATTATGTTCCATTTTCTTTGTGTTTTTAGTTTTTGAAGGTTGACTGAATATGTTTGTGTTTTGGGCACTATGGATTGATTGTACAGTAGTTTAGAAAAGTATACAGTTAATTATAAAATCTAATGATGTTCTATGAAAGTGATACTGTTGAAGTTAAAGAAAGGTGAGATCATTTCTTTTTTTTAAATTTATTTTTTAGTTGTAGTTGGACACAATACCTTTATTGTACTTACTTATTTTTATGTGGTGCTGAGGATCGAACCCAGGGCCTTGATCATTCTAGGTTGAGCTCTACCACTTAGCCACAACCCCAGCCCGAAGGTGAGATCATTTCTATCAGAGAGGATTTGAGGAATGTTTCAGGGATTTCATGCTACAATCTTCTTGCTGGAGGAGGAGGGTTCTAATTTATGGAAGAGGAGGAAAGACCATTCCAAGGAGAGAAAAGCATAAGCAAGCATGAGAAACAGCAGTGCAAATGAGGAGGCAAGGAATCACAATTTGTGTTCAGAAACCAATTAGTTTAGTTTCTCCAGACATAAGTAGTGAAGAGAAAGGTGGAAGAAATAGTTTTAATGAAAATATAATAGTGAACATTTTTTGAGCATTTATTTTATGTCAGTCACATTTATGTGTATTATACTATTTACACACAAGAAATTTGATCACAGAAAAGTTGGGTAACTTGCCTAAGATCTCAGAGTTAGTACATAGTGGAGCCAAGAATGAAGCCCCAGAAATTTAATTCTAGACTCTGGATCTTTAACCACTGGCTTCTAGAGAGCTTTGATATATCAATATAAGGATTTTAGCCTGTAGGTTTCTTAAAATCCAATTGGAAATACCATATTCCTTTGCTGTGCTTAGACATTTCTGATGGCTTTTTTACTAGCTATAAAACAGTCTGGGGCTGGGGCCATCCCTCAGTACTGCACCACTTGCCTAGCATATGCAAGCCCCTGGGATCATCCCTAGCACTGAAGGAAAAAAGTCTGTTATCTGGAGATGTGGGTTGGAATGGAATGAAAGGGAGAAGAGCCTGGAGGCAAGGTATCAGGCCAGTAGTGCAGGCAATAGGGATACCTATGTGTTGTTATATATTATTGGATCAAAGGTGTATAGTAGGGCTGTTTCCTATGAAACATAAAATTCCATTGCCTTTTGTATAAACCTTCATAAACAATATGTGATTGTTCATCCTTAGAGTTAAAAGAATGGAGTAGCATACAGCTTACTTTTAGTTTAACTAACACATTTTTTCCTATATTTTAAAAATTTCATTAAGTTTTTATTTATTTATTTATTCTTTGGTGCCAGGGATTGTACCCAGGGTTGATTAACCACTGAACTACATCCCAAGCCCTTTTTTAAAAATTTCTGATTTTTTTATTTTATGAGACAGGGTTTTGCTAACTTGCTTTATGTTTCACTATGTTTCTGAGGCTGGCCTTGAATTTGCAATCCTCCTGCCTCAGCCTCCTGAGTCACTGGGATCACAGGCATTTACCACTATGTCTGACTAAGAGTTGCATCAAGTTTTGATACTGCTGAGACCTTTCTTCTCTTTTATTCCTCCCTTTAAGAAATTATCAAATGAGAAAAAATTCCAAGTGAAACACTTGGAAGTTTTTATCCTCTTTTTAGAGTAATTTAAGATACTTTTAGTGTCTTCCTATCATTTTCTGAACACACAAAATTCCAGTAAGAAATATAGTAGGAAACTAGATAAGCAGCAGAGAAACCCAGACCTTTTTGGCAGCTGGTATTACCATAACAATTTATTCATGTGATGCAAGTTCATAGTATTCTTCCAGATGATAGAAGTTGCTTGGGAGATATTTGAGGTTATGAATGCCAAAATCATGGAGTATGAGCTAAGGGACTTTTTACTAAGTACAAATTTGAAGTTTGGTTATTGATTTTTAAGTTTGGATCTCAGTTAGCTAATAAAATGGGTATATTTTATTATATATAAATTCTACCTCAATAAAGAAAAATATGTACATCTTCTAAAAATTGTTTTTCAAAACTATTTCTTTTTCTAGGTTATAAATAAGGTTCATCTTAAGACAAATCATGTTGTAAAGAGAGATGTTGATGAACATTTAAGAATTAAGACTATCTATGATAAAAGTATTGAAGAGTAAGTACACTAGCATTTTGTCATCTTTTTATTGTCAATCTAAACATTAAAGATATTTTCTTCTGTTGCCTGAAGTAATAAAGTCCATAGCTCAAACTTTAAAAAACACTAGTGTAGTTTTAAGATGGAATTATGCAGGGGCTGGGGTTGTGGTTCAGTAGTAGAGCATTTGCCTAGGATGTGTGAAGCACTGGATTTAGCACCACATAAAAATAAATAAATAAAATAAAGGTGTTTAATCCATCTACAACTAAATATATATATGTGTATTATAAAAGATGGAATTAAGCAGAAGATGTTTTTAGCTGAAAAGCCAAAGACCGTAGGAAATGATTAAATACCTTAATCAGAACAAATATGAATCTTCCTGGATGTTATCAATAATAGATCTGGAAGGCTTTTGCCAATAAGTAATTGGAGAAAATACTAACATAAGCTATAATAAGAAAGTTTGCCAAATTATTAAACAAACAAATTTTATGTAGTCTAAGAGGTATCAGAAAACAGATGAATTATGAGTCTATAGTAGTTTATGAAGAACTATTAGAAGTAGTTTGTCTTTCCCTATCCTTAACATTCTCAGATGACTGAGAATGTGATCATACTTAGCCCTGTGGTTTGGCACAGAATGATCCTCAAATACTCACTGTGGTAAATGGGAGATTTTTGGAGACAGATACTGTTTCCACACAGCGTTCCTTGGGGCTCTTGACAGATGGAATCTGAACAAATGAGAGTGCTTTGCCTCAAGAGTGGGAGTTCTTATGTTTTATGTCATTATTTTCAGGTTGCTCCCTGAAAAAAGATACCTTGTAAAGGTATGTAATAAATACTTATGAATTAGGACATTTAAAATTATGTGTGTGTGTGTGTGTATGTGTGTGTGTGTGTATATATATATATATATATGTATATTTTTTCCCCCCCAGTCCTGGGAATTGAACTCAGGGGCAAGCTACAACTGAACTATACCTCACCCCTTTTTATTTATTTTTTCGAGACAAGGTATTGCCAAATTGCTGCTGACTTCCAATTTGTAGTCCTCCTGCCCCACTCTCCCATAAAATATATGAATTCTACTTTAATCAAGAAAAATAAAGGTCTGGGGTTGTGGCTCAGGTAGAGCACTTGCCTAGCATGCTAAGGAACTGGTTTCAATCCTCAGTACCACATAAAAATTAAAATAAAGATATGTGTCCACCTAAAACTAAAAAATAAATATTTTTTAAAAACCCAGGACTTTTAAGAATGATTAAATAAAAGATGTTGGTAGTGAATATATTTATCATTTTACCAAGTAGTTTTTGTTACACCCTCAATGAGATTTTGTCAGTATTTGGCATGAAATTAGTTGCCTTATTTTATAATTGATATTAAATCAGTCTTCTCCTTTTGTACTTCTTGCTCAAGTTTTTGGGAACGGGGCATGCTGGGGTAGGGTGAAAAATGACAACTTTTCAAAAACGTTGAATACACCTTTCTCTTTGTGGGAATGTTCATTCTTTTTTTTTTTAATATTTAGTTTTTGGTGGACACAACATCTTTATTTTATTTTTATGTGGTGCTGAGGATCGAACCCAGGGCCCTGCACATGCCAGGCGAGCGTGCTACTGTTTGAGCCACATTCTCAGCCCCTGGGAATGTTCATTCTTCTGAAGATTAATTGACCTGATAGTGTGATATGCCAAAGTTGTTTATAAAGATGCAAACTTCATCAGATTTTTAACTGATGTGAAAGTCATACACACATACACACATTAAACTAATTCACTATAGGATAGAGAAATTGGTGAGTTTAAACTTAAGATTTTTTTTAAAAAATAATCTGCCCCTGAGAGAGTCTAAATCAGTCTTAAACTTGAAGTTATCTGGATTAATAATTAAGATTTATATTTTCTAATTTTTTATTTAAATGGAAGTAGGGAAAGAAGTTTCTGCCTATTTCTCTTTTCCCAAATTCAACTAGAGAACAAGGAAATTTCTTTCCACCTAGGTTCACTCTTTGCTTACGCACTGCCACACAACCTTGGACTAGTATCTGTATTCCAGAATTATAAGGTTTTTCTTTCTTGTCCTTTCAGTCATTAATATACTGTGCTTACTTACTTAACTATAATTTATCCCTTGACTATAATTCTGATTGTTTTTTTTCCCTTCTATCTATTATTTAGAACAAACTTTTCCCGCAAGCTATTTCTTATTTAGAGAAGACTTTTCAGGTTCGTAGACCTGCTGGCACTATCTTACTTAGCAGGTAGGTAACATTTAACACTGGTTGTTTTCTTCATTCATTTAGTACTCTGCACTCCTCATTCTACCAGCATGGCAATGTATAAGATTTATACTAGAATATTTTATTATATTGTTCTTATAGACCAAACTGCAACATATATAAAAAGAATGAAAAAGCACCTGCTGGATAATTATTCTTTCCCTAATTTTCCATAATGAGGTAGTCTACAGAATCTTCTCCAAGGGAGGTATGGTCCTCTGTTCCCCAAACCCCCTTCATCTCTCCTTCACATGGCCACAGTATTGACTTCATAAAAGTATTTAGGTACTTGAAAACCCAGATCAGGGGGATTCCCCACAGAACTAGAATTCCTTCTTAGCCTATTTTTATAACTTAAACAGTAACCTAATAAGGTTACTAGTGAAGTAACATAGCACTTACTAGTTTTTTGTATTGTTTTTAACTGTTGTGAACTATTCTTTCTTACTTTTATTTTGTTTTGTATTTAAACTTTCATATACAAATGTACCAAAGACAATGTGCAACAAACCAATACCTGCGGAAAGAAAATGATCCTCATAGATACTGTACTGGTGAATGTGCACCACATACAAAGTGTGGACCAGTTATTGTGCCTGAGGAACATCTCCAGGTAATTCACCCTGCTTTTAGCAATGTTTTTTACTCTGTAGTCTAACCGTGGGAGCACATTTGAATCTTTTCAGTGGGAAATTTTTATAAATTCAAATATAAAGCTTTAGTAAGTTTATTTTTCTACCAAAAGTATAATAGTTAGATTTGCTGATTCTGTTTTTTCATTGTTTTTCAAGTGCATTTAATGACATTTACTTTCATTTGTTTTCTTCCCCATTTGTCTCTGAAGTGCTGAATTAGTTTAGCTTAGAACTTTATCCTTATTTTCCAGAACACCTTTGAGCACTTATATACTTACCTCAGGTTTTTTTTTTTTTTTTGTATTGAACATTGAACCCAAGGATGCTCAACCACTAGCCAGTTGCTTATGGCCTTGCTAAATTGCTGAGGCTGGCTTTGAATTTACAATCCTCCTGCCTCAGCCTCCTGAGCCACTGGGATTACAGGTGTGTGCCACCGCGTCTGGCATACCTCGGTGTTTTTAAAAGGGCAATTTGATATCCCTTAAGATAAGCTTCAACCCAACTTACACATTTATTCCAAAAGTACTAATAACTATGTGGGCACAATGGCACATACCTGTAGTCCCAGCTGAGTCAGGAGGATTACTTGAGATTATGAATTTGAGACCAGCTGGAGCAACACAGTGAGACACTGTCTCAAGGACAAAAAAAAAAAAAAAAGTATTAACTATCTTCTGTGTATTCAAGGGTGTTCTTTGTAAAACTATAAGTATACATATGTAAGTTATTAAATTATGTTATAACCATATAATGGAATACTATGCATTTGTTTTAGAACAAAGTAGATCTCTATGTACTAATTTGAAAAGATATTTAAGCTCTTAAATGAAAAAAAAATTATCAATGTGTTTCATTGAAAAGTACAGATATACATAAGTTAAAAATTATGAAATAGTCTAGAGGAATGTGTATGTTAAAAAATCTGTACAAAAATCAAAATGTTAGTGGTTTCCTTTAAGAACTAATGGTAACTACACAGCTTTAGTAACAAAAACTACATGGTACAGCATAAAAACAGACATGAAGACCAGTAGAAGAGAACAGAAGACACACAGACAACCCTCACAGAAGCAGCCACAGTCATCTCATCTTTGACAAAGATGCCAAAAACATAAGGTAGAGAAAAGATAGCCTTTTTAAACAAATTGTTCCAGGAGAACTGAGTAGCCATTTATAGAATGAAATTAGACCCCTATCTCTTACCCTGCTCAAAATGGATGAAAGACCTAGGAATTAGACCAGATAACTTAGAAAAACAGGGTCAACACTCTATCAAATAGGCACAAGCACTGATTTTCTTAATAAGATTTCTGAAGCACAAGAATTAAAACAAAAAGGCCGGTGCAGAGGCACATGCCTGTGTAGTCCCAGCAGCTTGGTAGGCTGAGACAGGAGAATTGCAAGTTCAAAGGCGGCCTCAACAACAGGCAAGGCACTAAGCAACTCAGTGAGACCCTGTCTCTAAATAAAAAAATACAAAATAGACCTGGACATGTGGCTCAGTAGTCAAATGCCCCTGAGTTCAATCCCTGGTATAAAAAAATACAAAAAGAATTAAAACAAAGAATAAGTGGAATGGCATCAAATTTAAAAGTTTCTGCACATCAAAGGAAACAATTAAGAGCCTACAGAATGGGAGTTTGCTAGTTACTCTCTGAACAGAGGATATCCCAGAGTATATGAAGAATTCAAGGGGCTGGGGATGTGGCTCAAGCGGTAGCGCGCTCGCCTGGCATGCGTGCGGCCCGGGTTCGATCCTCAGCACTACATACCAACAAAGATGTTGTGTCCGCCAAGAACTAAAAAATAAATATTAAAAAAAAAATTCTCTCTCTCCTCTCTCTCTCTCCTCTCTCTCTCTCCTCTCTCACTCTCTCTTTAAAAAAAAAAAATTCAAAAAACTTAAAATACCAAGAGCACAAATAACTTAGTCAATAAGTGGGCAAAAGAATAAAACAGACATTTTCAAGAGAAGTGAGCCAGGGACTGGGGTTGTGGCTCAGTGGTAGAGCGCTTGCCTGGCATGTGTGAGGCCCTGGGTTCTATCCTTAGCACCACATATAAATAAAGAAATAAAGTAAAAAATCCTCTGGCAACTAAAAAAATATATATTAAAAAAAAGAAGTAAGCCAAATGGCCAAAATATATGAAAAATGTTCGACATTTTTAGCATTCAGGGAAATAAAAATCAAAACTACACTGAAATTTCATCCCATCCCAATTAGAATGGCAACCCTCAAGAATGTAAATAATAAAAAACACTGGAGAGGAGGTGGGGAGAAAGGAACACATAAATTGTTGGTGAGACCATAAATTAGTATGACCACTGTGGAAATCAGTAGAGCATTTCCTCAGGAGACTAGGTAAGGAACCAAAGGATTCCATTCCTCAAGACTTATCCAAAAGAACTGGAGTCAGCATACCATAACAATACATAATGTGTATAGCAGTGCAATTCACAAGAGCCTAGTTAGGGAACTAGCATAGATGTCATCAACAGATGAACAGTTAAAGAAAATGTATCTATTCACAATGGAGTTCTATTCAGCCATAAAAAAGAATAAAATTGTGTCTTTTGGTGATAAATCAATAGATCTGGAGAATATCACACTAAATAAATTTGTATAAGCCAGACTCAGAAAGCCAAGAGTCACATGTTTTATAAGCTGAAGCTACAGAGAAATAAAGGGAATCTCGTGAAAATAGAAGGGATATCAGTAGTGTAGAGATAAGGGATCTGAGGGGAGGGGCAAAGAGGAAGAACTGGCGAATAAAATTGATCAAATTAGGCTATATGCATGTATGAATATGTCACAGTAAATCCCATTTTATGTATAATTGTAATACACCAATGAAAAAAGTATATGTATGTGTTTATATTGTAAATAAATAGAAGGAAGACCATATATTTTAGATTAGATTCCTTTGGAATTTTTTCTTAAGGTATTTGAAGCTAAGTAAAGGCACCTGTACAATTGTACAGGTTGGCACCTACAATTTGCTTACTCAGTTTTACTTAACTGTTTCAAATTTCTTGAGTGCACAAGGAGCTTTAGGAACATGTTTAAAATTTTAAATAGATTGTTGATTGTATCCCTATGTCTTTTGCCAAGGCACTTCCTAGATATTTTAAGACTAATTTCATTATTTTTTTTCTAAGAGTTTGTTCATTGCTTTTAATTTTCTTGGTTCTTCCAAGTTCTACTTCCTACTTCTTGAAAGTTCTGATTTTTTTAATTAAGTAGATAATCATGAGAAAGAAGCTTAAAATTGTAAACTTTTTGTACTACCAGCTACTAGTAGGTTAAAATAATTGAATTTTAAAATTATAAAGATATGTTATAGAAGCAAGAGTAAATAACAGATACTTTCTATTAAGTGAAATGGGAGTGTCTGGGTCTTTTGTTTTTGTTTTTTCTTCTTTCTGCCAGCATAGCTTAACCTAAAAAAATTACTGATTTTTTTCTAATTGTAATTTGAAGAGTCAAAGTAAGATTTGCCTAGAAAATACTAGAAACAAATCTCTTACTACTGAGAGGGGTGAAAAAAGAAAACTAGAAACAAGGGTAATAATCATGGATGACTTTAATTTTTTCTTTTTATGTTTTTATATTATCAAATTTTTTAAATAAGATACATGGATTTCTTTATAATAGGAAATATATTTCCATTAACTAAAAAGTTTTTTATTAATTAATTTTGAAATAACTGTAGCCTCAAAGAAAGTTGTAAAAATTATGTATAGGACATTGTTCAGTGGTAGAGCATTTAGCATGTTGAGACTCTGAGTCCAATTCCAATCACCCCCTCCCCCCCCAAAAAAAAGTATATGGAAGTTTCATCACTAAGTTTTAGGGTTTTGAAACCTTTTTAATTTCTATCTTTTCTGCATACTAGTTTTTTGGCCTTTATAAAATAAATCATAACATATTTAGATATATACTGGATTCACTCTTAAGTTTGTCTCTTTAGCTAACCACGTCTCTGGTCTGATTTTTCTGTTCATCCCTACTGGTGCAGCAATGTAGGGTTTGCCGAGGGGGTAAATGGCCCTGTGGAACAGTGGGTATGCTGGATCAAGAGGGTGTCCGAGATGCAGACTTTGTCCTTTATGTTGGTGCTCTGGCTACTGAGAGATGCCGCCATGAAAACATCATCTCTTATGCAGCCTATTGTCAGCAGGAAGCAAAAATGGACAGGTAAAGGTTTCTTTGAGATTTATTTTATAAGATCTAATCAGGGAACTCTTAAACCATATTTTTATTGTTACCATTACAGGAATTTTACATTTGACAATTGCCTCTAGTAGTAAGAAATAACATGCTGCCTGGGTTTAAAGGGTGCCCCCTCTTCCTCTGTGGTAGGACTGTTATTCATATTGGTAATAGAAGTTTTCTGGTCAGAATGAAGAAGAGTGAAAAACTCATTTGACTTTTTCTTCTCCACTCCTCTTTCATTCTGATCCTACCTTTTTTACCCATAAACTCCAAAGAAAAAGTGTACTGTCAAGAGAATTTTCTTTCCAGGTGAATACTTCTGTAAAGAAACAATTCAGATGTTAATTGAGAATAATTTAATTGTTGTATCATTTATTACATATGCTGCACTTAGCTAAATAATCACTTAACAATTCCGAAACTTCTTTGTTTTTCACAAGTGATTTAAAAAAAATTTTCATGGTGAAGCAGCCTAGCCTTGAAATGAAAAGTTAGTATATATACAGAAGATTGCCTGTCATACACCAAGCAAATCAGTTAAAAAAAGCAGTAGAAATTGGACTGGAGTTGTGGCTCAGTGGTAGAGCTTTTGCCTAGCATGCATGAGCTACTGGGTTTGATCCTTAGCACTACATTTAAAAAAAAAAAAAAACTAGATAAACAAAATAAAGGTATTGTGTCCATCTACAACTAAAAACATTAAAAAAAAAAAGCCAGTAGAAACTGTTGCATATCTCAGAATTGACTATATAGACATTCTCAAATTTAAGAGAGGGTAATGTGTCTAATTCATGTGCATGTAAGGACCATTGCTGCAGTGCAAAACATCCATTTATTGACTCCAACATAAAGAACCATTTTTTTTCTATTGATATAATTTACTTGAAGAAAAATTAAAAAACTTAGTTGAATCATGTAGAGAATACGAAGAAAATGCTGGTATATGCTTCAGAATTGTAGTGTCAATCTTTTTGATTTTTTTTGGGGTACTGGGGATTAAACCCAGAGGCATTTTACCACTTATCCCCTTAATTTTCTGTTTTGAGACAGGGTCTTGCTAAATTGCTTAGGGCCTTGCTAAGTTGCCCAGTCTGGTTTTGAACTTGCCATCCTCTTGTCTCAGTCTCCAAAGTTATTGAGATTATAGATGTGTGCCGCTGTGCCCGGTTTGTATTGTCAATCTTAAAGGTACTTAAGGAAGTAAAAGTAAATGCATTATGAAAAGCAGTCTCTTAGTGTGATAAGATGTAATTGTTGACTGGTGAAATCAACTCAAGTCTTTAGACTGAATGTTGAGAAAGCTAAGTATCAACTATTGAGTATGTTGCTGTAGAAGAAAGTACTGTTTTTGCAGATTATGTTTATGCTAATATTCGTTTTTCCTTGAGGAGATGCCTTTAAATTTATAACTTATAACTATGAATGATGTCTTAATAGCAATGAAATTTGCTAGTTAAAGTATTAAGTGAATAAGTTACTTGATAAAATGAGATATTTAAGAAAAGTGGATATCTTTGAGAAGTATACTTTCCCAAAAGGAGTGCTGCAAAATCATATTTTTATTTTAACTTTAAGCTATACGTATCAAATGCACACAAAATCTTATTTTGAACTTATTAGAAAGGGTTAAAATAAGATTGCAAAGGAGAGTACCTAATATGAGTCCATATTTGTTTAATAAAACTCTACGCATGTATTTGAATGTGCTAAGGAAAAAGTCAGAAATAGGATTACTAGTCATCCCAGTTTGTCTAGGACTGCCCTGGTAGTATCATTTGTTAACACTGAAAGTCTCACATTCCAGGAACCCCTCAGTCCTGGGCAAACCAAGATGACTAGTTACCATAAAATGGATGCACATAATATTGTTGATGGAATTTAGTGAGTGTAGGGTATAAAACAGGTAATATTCACTTTTTTTTTGTACATTCCAACATTATGTTGCGTTATAATGTATACCTTTTGACAATGAGTTTTTATTACTTTTCTAAAAGACCCATTAAAATGAACCTTATGTATTAGAATAAGAAAGACATCCCTGGAGAAGTGAGAAGAAAGATGAAATCCTGGATTGAGTCTAAGTTAGTTAATCTCAGTTCAGCATCTCATAATGTGGAAAGTACCAAAAGTGTCTAGTTGTCTTCTGGTGAGAGAACCCAGCATAGGAATCACACAAAGGAGAATCCCCTTCAGTGAGAGGTGTGTTTCATTGTCATTGTTATGTTTATTTATAGCTATATTTATTTACAGCACCTTAATGTTTAGTTTGTTTGGTATGAATGAGTAGCTAAAAGAATAAATGTTCTTTGTACCATGACTATGAAACTACTCACATTGGGGAAAGATTTTGTTTTTTTTCTGAGAATAGTATTGATGTTTATAGAATGAGCAGTACAATGTCTCCAGTATTTCTTTTTTGAATCTTTTTGAAGGAATCTTCCTTCAAAACTGGTGTATTTCATGAATTCATTCCATTATTATTTGAATGTCTAATATATTGCCAGCAGACGAGGTGAACAAAATACACATGTGCACCCACCTCATGGAATTTACAGATTTCAGAAGAAGACAGGTATTGGTTTAAATTTTAATTATAGATATGTGATTTAAAATATTATACTTTATAGAAAAATACTTTGTACAGGATATTGTAAAAGGGAGTAAAAGGAGAAGATACATTTCATTCAGTTGAGCAAGGAAAGCCTCTTTGAATAAGTGAAATTTTAGCTTTGACCTGAACATTGAAAGGCTTTATCCAAGTAAAGAGGTTGGAAAAAAAAACTTAAGTTAGGAAAAAGCATGTATACATTTTGCTGTCAGAGGTCACTTCAGTGGATACTGTGTTAGAAGAGGGAGACAGAGTGCTGTGAGAGGTCCGTGAAGTAGCCACATGTGATGGCTCATGCCTGTAATCCCAGTGACTTGGGAGGCTGAGGCAGGAGAATTGCAAGCTTGAGGCCAGTCTCAGCAACTTAGTGAAACCCTGTTTTAAAAAAATAAACAGGGCTGAGGATGTGGCTCAGTGGTAGAGCATCCCTAGGTGCAATCCTAGAGTGCAAAAAGCAAAAAAAAAAAAAAAAAAAAGGAAGTCCCTGAAGGCTTTTAAGCCTAGCAATGATATATTTTATATTTTAGAAGTCACCGTGCAATGTTTTGATAAGTAATTTATCTTCGTACTTTTTCTAAGTCTGTTGCTATCAAGTATAAAGAAATGTACTGCATTTTTATTTAAATAACGTGTATCTTCTTTATAAATAAGGAAATATAATTGGTGAGGTTTGTAGTTTTTCTGTGGTAAATGTTGAGAAAAAAAATGTAGAAGAATCTTCATGTTCTTTAGCATTGTCTGTTTACCTCAGCTTTTGAAAGACAAGTAGGTACATGGTAGAAGTGATTTAATCACCCTGGGTCCTAGTGTGTCCTGAATTCTCCAGTTCTAGGCACACAGAGAGATGTAGAATTCTGTAGATTCTACAGTGTATACAACTTGAAAGAAGATGATGGGAAGGTAAAAGTATGTATGTGAATGTAGGCATTTTGGCAGCAGAAGAAAAGGAAAGATGGAAATTAAGAAAGGTTGAGCAATTTTCAGCAACCTGAATGGTTTATTGCCCCATTATATATCTGTTTTCCCTGTCTACTTAAGTAGTCTCTATGCCTGAAAATACAGGGAAATGCTAAAAATCAAATACGGGTTTTACAATAAAATAGTACTAGAATGTACATTTTTTAGTTTATTCCTTTTTTTGGTATTACATATTTTAATTTACACTGATATATAATTAATTGGCCATATATCCTTTTATGGAAATAGATTTTCCTTTGTCATGCCATAGGAAAGCAAAGGGTACATGTCTTGAGAGTAAAAGATAGTGAAAGTTAGCCACAAAATTACATTGAAGGGCTGGGGTTGTAGCTCAGTGTTAGAGCACTTACTTATACATGTGAGGCACTGGGTTTGATCCACAACACCATAAAAAATAAATAAATAAAATAAGGGGGCTGGGGATATAGCTCAGTTGGTAGAGTACTTGTATCGCTTGCACAAGGCCCTAGGTTCAATCCCCAGCATCAAAAAAAAAGATATTATATTTATCTATAACTAAAATTTTTTTTAAAGATTTCAAAAAATTATATTGAATATTAAATAAAGGTTTTTCTATCCTTGAGCAGTTTTTCATAGAGAATCATAGATTAGTAAATATAGTAATAAATATTGTTCTGGAATATAATAAAAATTCGATATCTATTTTAACAGGCCAATAGCAGGATATGCTAACCTGTGTCCAAATATGATCTCTACCCAGCCTCAGGAGTTTATTGGGATGCTGTCCACAGTGAAACATGAGATTATTCATGCCCTGGTAAAGCTGTTACCTACTCTTCTTTCCTTCATGCTTTAATTTTCTGTTTATTGTGTTCTTATTTTGTTGCATATTTTAAAATTTAAGATTATGTGAATTCTTACATTTTTGTTCAGTAAAACCTGATTAATTAGGTCTCTGCTAATGAAGAATTTTTAATGATAGGATAATGAGTAGGTTGAATTTTTCTATCTAATATAATTAGATATTTGATCTATTCAGTAAATAGGACTTGGGGAGAATGATTAAGCTTCTTCTGAAAAGAATTTAGTAACTTAGAAAAATTACTTTCCTCTAGAATATTTGATATGCTGATACAGCTCTTAGGAAAGCTAATTTGTAAAAGCCCTTTTGGTCTAACTTGGGCTTTTTTTCCTCTTTTTTATTTTGTGTATATATGCATGTGTTGGATACTAAGAATTGAACCCAGGGGTGCTCTATCAATGAGCTATATCCCCAGCCCTTTCTATTTTTTTATTTTGAGACAGGTTATTATTACCAAGTTGCTGAGGCTGACCTCAAACTTGTGATCTTCTTTTCTCAGCCTCCTGAGTTGCTGGGATTACAAGTGTATGCCATCACTCTGGGCCATTTGGGCTTTCTAAATATATATGTACTAACTGATTCAGAATTTCTGTATTCCTTTTCCCCAATTTGTCCAAAATATTAAATTTTACCATATGCCTATGGGATTTAAAGAAATTGCCTAAAACCCTAGGAAAAGTTCTCTGATACTATTTAAATATGTTTAGGAAATGGAGAGGAACAAAATACACTTGTTAAGAGAAAAAGGGTCACACAGACATAGGTATGAATTTTCTTAGCTGTATGATTAAAAATTTGGGGGGTTTGGTGCAAATTGGTTAGCCTTTGGTAGCCTCAGTTTCATTTATAAAATGAGGAAAATAATAGTACATACTACAATGAATTTTATTTCTTGAAGGTTAAACAAGATAGTACGTATAACTGGTGTAGCACCATGCTATATGTAGTAAGTTATAATAAAATTAGTGACTATTATTTTTCTTATTTAGTGAGCTATCATGTATGACCTTGAAATATAAGTTTGTCTTTCAATTATCAAACATACTGATTGACAAAGTGAAACTCTCATGTAACTAGATAATAGTCATGTTCTTCACATAAGGAGATACTAAAATGAAATGTTTGTTTGGGCATGGTGGCACATACCTGTAATCTCAACTACTTGGGAAGCTGAGGCAGGGAGATCACAAGTTCAAGGCCAGCCTGGGCTACTTAGTGAGACCCTGTCACAAAAAAAAAAAAAAAGTCTGGGTATATAGCTCAGTGGAAAAGCACGGCTAGTTTCAGTCCCCAGTACCAAAAAGAAAAAAATAAAAAAGGGCTGGAGTGTAGTTCAAAAAGGTATATCCTTTGTCTATCATATGCGAGGCCGTAGGTTTGATCCTTAGATCAAAAAAAAAAGAATAGAGAGCAAGAGGGGGAAGAGGAAGAAGAAACATGTAGAGATAAAAGAATAATCTGGACTCCATTACTCATTCTGGCAAACTTTGAATGACACAGAATCCACAATTATATCAGCAAAGAAGGTTGCCAAAGAAGTTAAGTAGGTGATCACTTACAATTGATAGCTACTAGGTTATGAACTAGATTATATTTTCTATTTATAAAACATGAAAGTAGTTTTGTTTTAATTATTAGATCAGGAAAGAAAGCAAGAAAAAGAATCTCACTAGTGAAATAGAAGATACCAAATGGCATTAGTTTTTCCCCTTTTCTTACCTTGTTGTTGGAAGAAGGGATGGGAATTTGAATATTTTATATTAGGTATTGATTATCTCATTAAGATTGAAGACTATCTCAGCATTCTGCCCAGGCTTTTTTTTGTGTGTGTGGTACTGGAAATTGAACCTAGGGCCTTGTGCATATGAGGCAGGCAATCTACCAACAGAACTATATCCTCAGCCCCACTCCACCCCCTTTTTTTTTGAGTCAGGGTCTGGCTAGGTTGCCCAGGCTGGCCTTAGCCTTCTAAGACCCTGGGATTATAGGCATGTGCCATGATTCCTGGCTAGTTTAAGACTCTTTTTTTCCCTCTTTTGGTACCAGGGATTGAACCCAGGACGCTTAATCCCTGAGCCACATCCTCAGCCATTTTTATGTTTTATTTTGAGACAGGGTCTCACTAGGTGCTTAGCTTCTCGTTAAATTGCAGAGGCTGGATTTGAATTTGCATTCTTTCTGCCTCAGCCTCCTGAGCTGCAGGGATTTCAGGCATGCAACATCACACCTGGCAGAATGACTTTTTCATAGAAGGTTTTCCTCTTAAAATCCTGAAATTTATAGGTCTAATACCCAGTATCATAAAAATCCTGAGATTTATGAATAAAGGATACTAAAAAGTCCATGAGAGTATATAGCTGTGACAGAGCCTTAGGCTGCTGGTACTTCTGATAGCCATGAAAATCCTTTAGTCTAGGTGCAGTGGTACATGCCTATAATCCCAGCAGTTTAGGAGGCTGAGGCAGGAGGATTCTGAGTTTAAAACTAACCTTAGCAACTTAGCGAGGTACTAAGCAACTCAGTGAGACCCTGTCTCTAAATAAAATACAGAAATAGACTTGGAATGTGACTCAGTGGTTAAGTGCCCCTGAATTCAGTCCCCGGTCCCGGTACCAATAAACAAACAGACACACACACACACAAAAAAAACCAAAAAACAAAGGAATTAAAGAACATAGATGATTTATGATTTAAAAGTGCTAATAGTGCCTAGACAAATTATAGCACAGTAATTGCTATTCATTGTATTTATACTGAAAGTAATTTTAAAATATATAACACATTTTGGAAAAACTTTGATTAAATATTTACCTTAAATAAATAGAATTTAGAATTCATAAACATGACCCATTTAATCATAGTTTAGTTGCAGCCTATGAGAAGTTCCTGCATTGGCCTGATGCTGTTATGTATTTATATCAGTGCTTTCTTTTGATAGCAGACATGTTATGATATCTGTAATCAGACTTGATATTTTCAGGGTAAGACATTTCAAACTTTTTCTTATAGGGTTTCTCTGCTGGGCTTTTTGCATTCTACCATGATAAAGATGGAAACCCTCTAACTTCAAGGTTTGCAGATGGTCTCCCGCCTTTTAATTACAGGTATTTACTATTTTTATTTTCTTCTTTTAGAAGATGCTAAGACAAAAATCAGAATCATGGTATGTTGTTAGGTGTTAAATAACAGTGTCTTTATGGATAATCTAAGGAAACTAACTGTACATAGTAAAACAAGATAGGATCATTTAGCCTCATGACCTATTCAAAGAGCCAGGACTCTTTTATCAGGCATATAGTACAGTCAGGCTTTGGTAAAATGTGGGTTGATTATATTTTGCCTTTTTAACAATTATTGCCTGTGCATGGCAATATTTACATGTTAATTGATATTTTGTTTAGTTTAGCAGGTTAGCAGTGATCCAGAAGTGCAGGGCCTAAAATATGCTGTAGTAAGAAAACTGAAAAGATTTATCAAGGACTTATAGTGGGATTGGAGGTTTAGGTCAGGGATAAAACATTTGCCTAATATGTTCAAGGCTTTGGGTTTGATATTAGCACTAGGGAACAAAAAAGAATTTTATAGATAATATCAGTTTTAGAACTATAACTGTTTGCATGCATTTATATAAAAAATAAGTCTCTAAATTAAAAGCACATATCTATAAAAACACTTGTACAAAATATTCATCATGATTTTGTTATTAATAGTCAAACCATATAAATCACCAAAAATATAAAAGCTGCATCAGTAATAGAATAGGTAAATAAATTGTGATATATTCATATAACTAAAAACTACATAGCACTAAGAAAGAAAACACAATTGGCTGGGATTAGCTCAAAGGTAAAGTGGGTACATGTGGGGCTCTGGGGTCAATCCCCAGCACCAGAAAAAAAAAGATATACTAATGCTATATGCAGTAATGTGGAGGAATGTCGCGTTCCTTGCAACTAAAACACTCAGGGTCACTCCAGGTAAACTGGGCTGCATGAAATAACCACCCAGAGACAGACAAATACCTTTTTCTTTGGGGTCCTGAATTGCTCCTCTGACCTTAAGGGCTCGAAAAAAGACATATGAGCAAACACTCTACAACTGAGCTACTTCCCAGCCCCATATTAGATTTTTGAAGATGTGGCCAAGTTCATGATGGATGATAGCATGAATGCTTGCTACCATCATTACCAGTATTGAATATTATAGGTCATATTTTAGGTTTATCTGTTGAATAAAGATGTTATGTCATTATTATACTCAGGACTACTAGTTTTATTTTCTTTGTCCAATCTTTTGGGTTAGTTTTCTTTTCCTAATTATTTTGTATTAATATCTAGAGATATTAATCCTTTTTCATGTATGTTGCAGATATTTCTTCTATCTACTTTTGTGTCTTTTTTCATTTGTCATGCATGCATACATACATGCAAGTGAGTAACATCTCTTTTAACTACAAAATAGTGCTTACAAGCTCATAGGGTTGTTCAGAAGATTAAATTTGAAAATTCCTTTCATGGATATGGGATAGTATAAGTTCTCAAATATTTTAATTTCATATTGATACTCTTGAATACTTTTATTTTTAAAGTAGTAGTACGTTTGCAGAATGACTGTCTTTCTATTCTGTAATTACAGTCTTGGATTATATCAGTGGAGTGATAAAGTAGTTCGAAAAGTGGAAAGATCATGGAACATTCGAGATAATAAGATAGTTCGTCACACTGTGTATCTGCTAGTAACACCTCGTGTTGTTGTGAGTATTATTGAACTTCTTTATGTCTCATGAATCATCTTCCTTCATTATAATACTTGTTTTATTAATCACTATTATTTAAGAACTTATAATTAAATTTCAGAGCCTAAAGTAGAATCAGTAGTATAAAGGCAGTGCAATAAAGTTATTAGCCAGGAGAAAGATGAGGAAGTAGAAATTTGACATTGACATTCATGATTCCTATCATATACACTGCTTTAAGGAAGTGCTGCCTCTGTTATGATACCTTTTAGGATCATTGTACTATTTCTGTAATTGTTTATCATTTTATTTGAGGGTTTGTATTAGTCAAGGATCTGTAGAGAAAGAGAGACAAACAGGATGTGAGGGGTAGAAGTGGGGGAAAGAGAGATTCTTTTAAGGAATTGTCTCACACAACTGCAGAAGTTTGGTTGATCCGAATCTGATGAGGTAGGCAAGCAGACTGGAGACTTGGGAAGAGTTACAGTTTGACTCTAAAGACAGAATTATTTCTTGCTTGCAGGTCAGTCTTTGTTCTGTTTACGCTTTCAATGGGTGCTTGAGCCCACCCATATTTTATGGAGGACAGTCTGCTTTTAGCTTAGGGTCCACTGATGTAAATATTAATCCTGGGCTGCAGTTATGGATCAGTAGTAGAACATTTGCCTCACACATGTGAGGTACTGGGTTTGATCCTTAGCACTACATAAAAATAAATAAATAAAGATACTGTGTCCATCTATAACTAAAAAAAAATTAGGAATATTAATCTTATCCAATAAAACACCTTAAAGTAGTATCTAGAATAGTGTTTGACTAAATATCTGGGCACTATGGCCCAACCAAGTCGACAAATTAAATTAACCATCACAGGATTCCCCATTTTTTTGAAGACAGAAAGCTATTCTGCTTTCACCTTTCTTTTACTACTCACATCTCTCTGCCTTCTAAACTCTTTCAGTGTTCTTGGGCTATTTTCCATCCCTAGAAATCTCTAACTCAAAAACAGACAAAATCCAATAAGTAAATTTTTTTTCTACTCAATAACATTTTTTTTTGCTGAGTGTGACACACACCTGCAATCCCAGTAATTATGAAGAATCATAAGTTCAAGTCCAGCTTGGGCAACTTAGCAAGATGCTGTCTCAAAATAAAAAGTAAAAAGTGCTGTGAATGATGATGATGATAATAATAGCCTAAATAGCTTTTTTTCCCTACAAAATATACTTCCATAACAATTTATACCAGTATTAAAATTATTCTTGAGAGAGCAAGGGTAGCTATACTTAAACCAAATAGACTTTAAGTAAAAAAAAGGTATTGGAAGACAAATAGGTATATTATATAATGACAAAGGGGTTACTTCATCAAGAGGATATGGCAGTTTTAAATCTGTAAGTACCTAACTTCAAAGCACCTGATAATGTAAAACAAATATTACTCTTTCTGAATGGAGAGATAAATTGTAATACAATAATAATACGAAGCTTTAATATTCCACTTTGAACAGTGGACTAATCACCCAGACAGAAAATTAATAAGGAAACATTGGACTTGAACAGCACATTAGGCCAAATGGTACTAAGAGATATACAGAACATTCCATTCAACGGCAATAGAATATACATTCCTCTCAAGGGTATTCTCCAGAATTGATCACACGTTAGGGCACAGAAAAAGCCTTAGAAAGTTTAAGAAAAGTCAGTCATATCAAGTACCTTTCTAACCACAAAGATGTGAAATAGAAATTAATAACAGCAGGAATTTTGGAAATTTAAAAATACTTGGAACAATACATTCCTGAACTACCAACATGCGTTGATAAGGAAATAAAGGGGAAATTAAAAAAATCTCAAGATATTGAAATATCTTTAAATAAATGAAAATGAACATAGAAAATACTAAAACTTACAGGATATAACAAAAGTGGTTCTAAGAGGAAAGTTTACAGCAAAAAAACAAGTACATCTAAAAAGAAGAAAGAAGCTGAGCATGGTGGCACTCACCTGTAATCCCAGTGGCTCAGGATACTGAAGCAGAAGGATCAAGAGTTCATAGCCAGCCAGCCTTAGCAACTTAGTGAAGCTCTAATTAACTCAGTGAGACCATTTGTCTAAATAAAATATTTTTTTAAAGGGCTAGGGATGTGCCTTAGTGGTTAAGCACCCCTGTTACAAAAAAAAAAAAAAGAAGAAGAAGAAGAAGAAGAAGCACTAAAATAAACAACTTTGCATTATTCCTCCAAGAACTAAAAAAGATGAACAAATTAAGACCAAAGTGAGCAGAAGGAAGGAAACAATAAAGAAGAGAGTAAAAATATGTGAAGTAGACACTAGTAGACACAAAAGATCAATGAAGGGACTGGGGTTGTGGCTCAGTGGTACAGTGCTCGCCTAGCATGTGTGAGGCCCTGGGTTCGATCCTCAGCACCACATAAAAGTAAATTAATAAAAAATAGGTGTTGTGTCGAACTACAATAAAAAATAAATTTTTTAAATCAATGAAACTTAAAATTATTTTTTTGAAAAGATAAAATTGACAAAACATTAGCTAGACAAAGGAAAGAAAGGAAGAAAACTGAAATAAAGTAAAAATGAAAGAGGAGACATTACATCTCATATCATAGAAATACAAAGGATCATAAGAGACTACTGTGAACAAGTATATGCCAATAAATTTTTTTGGGGGGAGTACCAGGGGATTGAACCCAGGGGGGCTTAACTGCTGAGCTACATCCCCAGTTCTTGTTATTTTTTCTTTTGAGATGGTCTAAGTTGCTTAGGGCCTTGCTAAGTTGCTGAGGCTGACTGTATTTGCCTTCCTCTTGCCTCAGCCTCCTGAGTTGCTGAGATTACAGATGTTGTCACTGCACTCATTTGTGCCAACAAATTTGATAACCTAAAAGAAATAGATAAATTCCTATAGTTAATATTGCTAAAATATCCATGCTACCCCAAACAGTTGCAGATTCAGTGCAACCCTGAACAAAATTCCAATGTCTTTTTTCACAGAAATAGAAAAAAAAATCCTAAAATTCATATGGAACCACAAAAAACTCCTAATTGCCAAGGCAATCATTTGTAAAAAGAACAAAGCTGGTGGCATCACACTACCTGATTTCATAGTACAGGAGTCCCCACTTTGACTGAGGTTTTGCTTTTTATCCCCAGTCTTAAGTCCAAATATATTAAATGGAAAATTCTAGAAGTAAATAATTTATAAGTTCTAACTTGTAATATAGTATATTGTTATAATTGTTCTATTTTATTATTAGTTATTATTAATCTCTTCCTATTCCTAATTTATAAATTAAACTGTATCACAGTTTAATATGTATATATAGGAAAAAACATAGTATAGGTCCAGTACTATCTGGATTTCAGGCATCTACTAGGGGTTTTGGAATGTATCCCTTACAGATAAGGGAGAACTACTGTAGTAATTCAAACAACCTGGTACTGGAATAAAAATAGAAACACTAGGTAGTGGAGCAGAATAGAGAGCTGAGAAATGAACCTAGGCATATATGGTCAGTTGATATTTTACAGAAGTGCCAAGAATGCCCAATGGGAAAAAGATAGTCTTTTCAATAAATGGGGAAACTAGATATCCATACACGGAAGAATAGATTTGGACCTTTATCTGATACTTTATGCAAAAACAACTCAAAATATATTAAACTCCTAGAATAAAACAGTGGGAAAATTACACAACATTGGTTTTGGAAATAATTTTTGTTTTTACTAACCTCAGAAGCACAAACAACAAAAACAAAAATAGACAAATGGAATTATATCAAACTAAAAAGCTTCTGGCTTTCCCCTTTTGGACTGCACAGAATAAGCTCTTGGGTCTCTGAGATCCAAAAATTGAGAGTTTTTTGCACCCAGGAGGCTGTGGCCTTTGACTCTATAAAATGAATATATTAAATTACAATATAAACGCCACAGATATTGCTTGTATTACCATGAGAAAAATAGAAAGAAGGAAACTCTAGAGTCTCATGAATGTTCGAGAATGGGGTGGGAGTGTTGGGGGTGGGGGATTGGCCTGAAGACTAAGGTCTACCATAAATAGCACTATACTGAGAAAATACAAATGAAAACAACTATCAAGATGCATGAAAAGAGAAACGCCAAGCAAAAGAATGATGACAAGACTTCACAGGGAGCAGTACCTTCTTATCTACTGGACAGAGAAGCACAGTCCCAAGCAAAAGTACTTTCCAGCATGGTTTTGCAAAACAGAAAAGAGACATCGGGAAACTAGTAAGTCCCTCTGCCCAAAGTTCATGCCCAGGGAGAAACAGAAGTATTAAAAGTTGTTTAAATAGTAAAGAGAAAAAAGAAGGTATAGAGGAGGATGGCTGCTAGAGTCTGCTTTGTTGGATATGACTTTATATGAGAAAATCACCTAAATTTAAAAGATTCATTAGAACAAGGAGCTTACATTTCAAGAAGACCCATGAAATACATCCTGAATAGAAAGCCATCTATTGCGTATCAGTACTTGATGTGAAAAAGTATCCTTCATAGCCACTATGTTCAACTTCAAACGTTATTACCAAAGATACTGCCATTGAGATAAACATGAGTCAGTTGGGCCTTGTGACACAAAGAAGCAAAGTTATTTGGTGGAAATTATGCTCAAGTTATCAACAATCCTTAAAAGTGATGGACTTAAATGTAGACTCACTGGTTTGACAGCAGTTTTATACACATAACTCCTTGTTTTAATTATTGAAGACTATAATCAGGGAAACCACCATTACTGTGATGTTTCTGAATGCTACCAAGTAGTCTAATATCTCTGTAATCAAGAGAACTATTTGTTAAATTGTAGAAAACATTAAAATGTTGAAAAAACATCTGTACACCAAAGGAAACAGTCAACAGTGGATTGGGAGGGAAAAAAATGTAGGATCAACACTTCAGCTTTTAGGAATAGGCAATGACTTTCTCAATGAGACTCCTAAAGCTCAGGAAATAATGCCAAGAGTTAATAAATAGGATGGCATAAAATTAAAAAGCTTTGCCCAGCAATGTGAGAAGAGAACCTACAGAATGGTATAAAATCTTTGTTAGCTACTCTTCTGATAGAGGATTAATATCAAAAATATATAAAGAACTCAAAACTTTATACCAGGGGCTGGAGTTGTGGCTCAGTGTTAGAGCACTCGCCTAGCAGTGTGAGGCCCTGGGTTCAACCCTCATCACCACATATAAATAAAGATATTAAAAAAAAAAAAAAACTTTACACCAAAAAAAAAAAAAAACAAATCATTAATAAATGGGCAAATGAATTAAACACACACTTCTCAAAAGAAGAAATGCAAATGGCCAACAAATACATGAAAAAATGTTCAACATCATTAGCAGTTAGGGAAATGCAAATCAAAACTACACTGAGATTTCATCTGACATCAATCAGAATGGCAGCCATCAAGAATACAAGTATACTAATAAATGCTGGAGAAGGTTTGGAGAAAAAGAAACCCTTAGACTCTTGGTGGGATTGTAAATTAGTACAACAGGTATGGAGGTTCCTCAAAAGACTAGGCATGGATCACCACCATATTATCCAGCTATATTTATCCTGAATAATTAAAGTCATCATACTACAGTGATACATGCATACCCATGTTTATGGCAGCACAATTCACAATAGCCAAACTATGGAACCAGCCTAGGAGTTCATCAGTAGATGAATGAATAAAGAAAATGTAGTAGATATACACAATGGAGTTTTATTCAGCCATAAAGAAAAATGAAATTAAGTCATTATGTTAAGTGAAATAACCAAACTCAGAAGGTCAAGGGTCATATATTTTCTCTCATATGTGGAAGCTAGAGAGGAAAAAGGGAAAGAAAGGTGGGGGCTAGGGATCTCATGAAAATCAAAAGATGATCTTTAAGGGAAAGGGACCAGAGGGTGGGAGGCAAGGAGGGTGTGGGAAGTGCTGGGGAATGATACTGGCCATATTACATTGTTATATAATGTAACATGTACAACTATGTAACAACAAATTCCATCATTATATACCACTGTAATGCACCAATAAAAAGGCAGAAAAAATGTATTGTAATAGAATACTCCTAATATAAAAAAATTTAAAGAATAAAAGTCGTCATAGTATAGTGATGCATGCATACCTATGTTTTAGCAGCACAATTCACAATAACCAGGCTATAAACCAGTTTAGGTGTCCATCAGCAGGTGAATAATGGATAAAAAAATAATGTAATATATATACACAACTGAATTTATTCAATCATAAAAGAAGTAAAATTATGTCATTTTTCAGGAAACTGGATAGAACTAGAGACCATTAAGCAAAATAAGTCAAACTCAGAAGTTTAAATGTTATATGATTTCTCTACCACGTGGAAGCTGGAGCGGAAAAAGGAAACGAAAGCAGGGGTGGGGACATCTCATGAAAATCAAAAAGAGATCAGTAGAACAGAGAAAAAGGATCAGGGAATGGGAGAAGGGGAGGAAGGGAGGATGTGCTGAAGAGCAATATTGGCCAAATTATATTGTTATATTGTATATTGTGTTCATGTATGAATATGTAACAGCAAATCCCATCATAGGTACAACTATAACACAGCCATACAAAAATGTAAAAAGAAATATATATATAGTAATTTCATAGCAAAGAAGAATGTAGCACCATCAAAATTTAATTATATTAAAAACTATTTTTTTTTAAATTCTCTCTTCTTACCAAAGTAATTTTTTAATATCTGTTGTACTCATGGAATAAAGAGTTTGACATTATCTAACAGTACTTTTGTGGGGTTTTTATTTTTCTGATTCTTAGGATGAAGCACGAAAACATTTTAATTGTCCAATTCTAGAAGGAATGGAACTTGAAAATCAAGGTGGTATGGGCACTGAACTCAACCATTGGGAAAAACGGTTATTAGAGGTCAGTTTATTTTTAACTTTTACTAGACTTTTTTTTTTTAAGTAATTCATACTCATGGAAAAAGATATTTAAACAGGTTCCTCTTTAGCTCTTAAAATCCAAATTAATTTAAATCTTAAATTCCAAATGTAATTGCTAAGCTTATCTTATATCCTTCCTTAAATATTGTCTAAGTTTATGTACATACACATACACACAGAAGTTTTTCTTTTTTTTCCAATTATCTATTTATTTATTTATTTTTGCTTTACGATTCTTAATACAGCTTTATACCACAATTTATCATATCTCTAATTGTATATATGGTATGTTGACACCAAATTCACATCTTCATATATGTATTTTGTATAATGAAGAAGTTTTTCTTTATGAACTCATACAACTTTTTTAACTTAATGATATTCTGTAGACATCTTACCAAGGCAATACAAATGTTTCTGCTATAATGCAACATATACTTTCACCTTTTTATACTGGGTTCAGTGGCACATGCCAGTAATGCCAGTGACTTGGGAGGCAGAGGCAAGAAGATCACAAGTTCAAGGCCAGCCTCAGCAATTTAGCAAGACCCCATCTCAAAATAAAAAAGGACTGGGAATGTAGTTTAGTGGTAAAGTGTCCCTAGGTTCAATCCCCAGTACTAAAAAATAAAAAGATTTTATTCTTCAATATGATACCCTAAAAATGGGCTGGGGATGTGGCTCAAGCGGTAGCGCGCTCACCTGGCATGAGTGCGGCCCGGGTTTGATCCTCAGCACCACATACAAAGATGTTGTCTGCCGAAAACTAAAAAAAAAATTAATAAATATTAAAAAATTCTCTCTCTCTTTAAAAAAAAAATTCTTATAAAAAAATATATGATACTCTAAAAATAACTAAACTTGTGGGAAAAACAAGTATCCAGAGCACTAACAAAAACATAAATCATAATTACTAGCTCAATTTTAAAAGACATTAAATTTCCAATAAATACAGTCCTTTGTCTACTCTAGTATTTCTTTGAACAACAACAGACCTATAATCACAGCTACTTGGATTTCAGAGGAGGATTTGCAAGTTCCAGACCAGCATGGGCAACTTGGAGACTCTATCTCAAAAATTTAAAGTAAATAAACAAAAGGGCTAGAATGTAGCTCAGTGATAGAGTACCCCTGGGTTCAATTTTCCAGTACTGCAAAACAAAAACAAAAATATCCACAACAACTACAAAAAAACAACAACAACATAAAAAAACTAGCAATGAGTAGCTGGGTGGGGGATTGTAAATCTTGAGTAAGAGGGACAAGAGTAAAATGTACCAAAATTAGAATGTGCAATAAACACTTGTAGCCTACTGAGCCAAGGGGAAAAAGATGAATTGAACAGAATAGAGACCATACTCAGTATAGCATTCCTCTATTCTTTTATTTTTTTTTCTTAGTGTATTTTTTATTTAGCTGCTATTGCTTCAGAGTACATTAGCATCCAGGGAAAAGTCACAATGAATTAGCAGGATTATATTGATGTCACTCCCTTATTTTCCATCTCACATGAGTTCATTCACAGTGCTGAAATACATGCATTAGCAAAATAGACTGTGTGCTTTGATTTCCTCAGTTTTTTCATTGTTGTTGTTTTTTATGGTATTGAATCCAGAGGCTTCAATAAAGATGCTTAAAAAATGAGGCGGAAACTCCTCATTTTTTAAGAGCTGCAGAGTATTATGTTATACAAATGTAACCTAACAGTCATGTGTTAATGAACAATTATGTTTCAAATTTTTAATTTAAAAAATTATAATGAGCCATTTATTTATTTATTGCTCATTTACTGCTGTGCTTTCCAGGATTGGTGTTTCAGTGGATATTCTTTGGTTCAGCTAAACAATCAAACTCACAAGACTCCAACAGGCCACTCTAAAGAAAGATTTCCTTAGAAAGGGTATCACAAAGCACACACAACACGCAGTGTTGGGCACATTCCTTGTGCTGAAATAGCAATCTAGGGGCTGTCATTGGTGCCTCTCTTCCTCTCTCTCCAACTCAAGGACAGCAGAAGATGGATGCAAGAACCAGCCTGGCTTTTAAAGTACCATGTCCCAAATAGGACATGATCTTTTTAACAGTTTCATAGACATAATTTTCAGATCCCTATAAAACATTTTCAAGACAGAGAAGTCCCAGAACTGTGGCTTACCAATAGGTATTCATGTTCATTTATGGTAATCTAAGCCCAGAAGTATTTCAGGAGGTTTTATTCCCTTAAGTACTAATGCCTGGTAACACAGTTGACATTCCATCTTTATTAGGTTTCCAGGGGAACAGAACTAGAAAGTTAACCCAAGGTCACATTTGATAATAGAGTAAGAAAGAATAAATTCCTATAAGTGGAATTTCTGGGTCAGAAGATATTAGAGATAAAGAATTGAAGAAAAATTAGAGCTATCCAAAGAAGAAATATGCTCTCTTAAGAGGCAGTAGAGTCCTTATTGTAGAGGACCTCCTGAAAGGAATTTTACATATAAATTAAAATTGGGTAGATAGTATACCTTGAGAATATTTTAGGTCCCTCATATAGATTATTTGATCTCATGATTCTATCATATGTGTTTTGCATGTTAGTGTATCTGTGATCACAAAGGATTAGGAAACTATTTTCTATGTAATTCAGGTGGTTATTTCCCTAATTCTAAATTACCTGGGCATTGTCTCACTTTACTTTGCCTGGAGAATCTTTACAGTAGTATTTCTGATTCCACATATATTTATCTTCATTTTCATCATAATATCTTAAATGTTAGTTCCTGCCATGCCAGGGAAATTATAAACATGGAAACATTTGAAGCAAAAAATAGATTTGACTTTAAATTTCAGTCTAGTCATTTTAAAGATGGCTTTTGTATTTCACTACTTTTAAGTGAATATTTTATCAGTCCCTCACTGGAAACATTTTAAATATATATCAGAGAAATCACAGAAATTATTAGGAATTGTCTAACTAAAATTTGTTGGTGATTTTCAGAATGAAGCAATGACTGGTTCTCATACCCAGAACCGAGTCCTCTCTCGAATCACTCTGGCATTAATGGAGGACACTGGGTAAGACAGCTGTGAGAATACATGATTTATGTCTTAAAATTAAATGAATATTAAGATTAGCTTAAGAAAATGCTGACATTTTACATCAAAGCAAAACTATTTACTGCATTATTGGATTTTGTTTAGTTAGCTGTCCATTATCACCAAATCTGTTTATTCATTCAATAATTGTATAAGGCCCCAAGATATAGTTATAATAGAGCAAAATGATATTAATGAGGTTTATTTTCTTGTAAGGAAAAGCTTCTAATATGAAGGAAAAACTAAATAATTTTTTAAATTGTGAATAAGATTGATGTATAGTTTCCTGGTTTTTAAAGTAGTGGAACTTTCTGGTAAAGCAGTAAACTGTTATTAAATGAACCTTTTACAGAATCTTTATGTATCAAATAAAATCGGAAATGCTTAGGTGGAAACGGTGCTTCTTTCTCTAAGATAGCCTGAGGAAACATTTGAAAATGAAATCAAATTTAAAATCAATAGTATAGGTATTATTAAAACCATGAAAATAGTTGATTTAACTTAACTTTGGGGGGGGGTGATCAAAGAGAAATAAGGATTTTAAAATATAGAGCTCATTGTTGACCCTGAGAATAGTTTCAATAAAAATGGAAGAGACTGAGAAGTTCTTAGGCTGATCTGCTTACATGAGAGAGGAATGTATAGGTAAGAAAGGATTTTATTAACACATCTTTTCCCCTAAGAATGCAAGATGGATAGGATCCAGAAAAACAAGAGAGAATTAAGTTAAATGAGAATTAGCTTCCTGTCTATTAATTCAGGAAAAAGGAATGGGTATAAGAATGCAGCAAGTCATGGAACTGGGGATATAGCTCAGGGGTAGAACACTTGTCTAGTATGTGTTATCTAGTTTCTTAATTCTCCGTTAGCCCATTTGAAGAACAATAAGGAAAAAAAATATAGCATTCTTATGCCTAACAGAAATATCAAGATATTGTTATATCTTTAGAAGGTAGCAGATAGCACCCTGAAAAGTCATTAGCATGCAATGCTTTAAGATTAAAGATTATTTTCTATGAAGTGATAACAAATTTTTGATGTCTATATATATAGACTTCATCTCAGGGATATTATTCTTTTAAATATTTTATTATGAAATTTATCAACACATAAAAAAAAATGCATGTATTAAACAGTCTATATAATACAATGAATACTGTAGGCCTATGAACTGGATTCAAGATGTCATACTTGGCAACGGTCTTTACCTTGCAAGTCACAGACATCACATCATTTTACTCCTAAATACTGCACCATGAGTCCCTAAAATATTGGATGTTTTTTAATGTAACCACACTTAGCAGTAACAAAATTAATAATTTCCTAATATCCTCTAATACCCAGTTCATAAGCACATAAATCTTTTATCTCTCTTTTTAAATCGGGATGCAAATAAATATCTCTTAAGCCCTTTAACGTACAGCAGTCCTGTACACCTTTGCCACCTCCCCCACCCCCCCATGGCAGTTAATTCATTGTGGACCCAGAATTCTGGATTCGCTTGTGTATTTCTTTGTTCTACAATACCCTGTATGTCTTGTAAATAGAAGTTATCTCTGTTATGGGTTAAATGTGAGGTGTTCCCCAAAAGTTTATGTGTGAGACAATGCATGAAGGTTTAGAGGTGAAATGACTGGGTTATAAAGGCCTTAAACCAGTCAGTGAATTCATCCCAGGACAGGGATTAACTGGGTAGTAACTGTAGGCAGATAGGATGTGGCTGGTGGAGGTGGGTCCACAGGGCATGCCTTTGGGGTTTGTCCTTGTTGAGCAGAGCTCTCTCTCTGCTTCTTTGTAGCCATGTCCTGACTTTTCCTCTGCCACACACTTCCACCATAATGTCCTGCTTCACCTTGAACCCCAAGGAATGTCACAGATTCAAGGCCAGAACAGCAAGAAACTAGAGCCAACTGAATTAGATTAGGTAAAAGGTAGCCAAGTAGTAATTCCACTATTTCTTTCTTTTCAGCTTCTCTTTTTCTGTCATTCTGTTTCCTTGTCCTTATTTTCCTTGTCTCACAATATAACCACTTTGTGTTACTCTGTGACTTCCATCGTTTTTGAAAATTACAATGGAAATATATTTTGTTTTGTTTTCCAAATATGAAAGTCGTTTGACATAGAACTGATTACCCAACTCCTGTCCCAGTGATACTGTACAACAGACCTTTGGCAGCAAGCACTTTGTAAATGTTCATTTGTGGTGATGGCCTCCCAAGTCCTTTTTAAGGTCCTAATTTGCTCATTATTGAGATTTGTAATTGGTATGCTAGAGTTGTTTTTTAAGTGAAGGTAATCAACAATCATTATTGGGGATAGCAGGTATAGATTGGTGATAGAGCACTTGTTTGGCCCTGAGTTTGATTCAGAGCACTGCAAAGGAGAAAAAAGTGAATTTAAATAATGGTAATACTAAAAGGTGCTTTGTTTGGATTGTTTCCACAGCTGGTATAAAGCAAATTACAGCATGGCTGAGAAGTTAGACTGGGGCCGAGGAATGGGCTGTGACTTTGTCAGGAAGAGCTGTAAGTTCTGGATTGATCAGCAGAGACAAAAGTAAGAATGTTTTTCTTTGTGTATCTTTGATTATACAATTAATTTCTGATTTTATTCTTTATCCTGAGCATAAAATGTCAATTATTTTCAAAAATGGTCTGAGCAGTTCAGTTTCAAATCCTTCTACAGGTACTTCGAAATAATATCCTAATAAGTAAGTGAAGAATAATTGGTTTTTGTTTGTTTTTTGTGGTGCTGGGGATGGAACCCAGGGCCTTGTGCATTCAAGGCAAGTACTCTGTGAACTAAGCTATATCCTAAAATCATTATTTTTAATCATATATTAAAATAATCTGGGGCTGCAGTTGTGGCTCAGTGGTAGAGTGCTTGCCTAGCATGTGTGAGGCACTGGGTTCAATCCTCGGCACCACATAAAAATAAATAAATATAAAAAAAAATTGTGTCCATCTACAACCAAATAATAATAATCATCATCATCATCATCATCATCCATAGCATCAGGGCTGGGGTTTGTGGCTCAGTGGCAGAGTGCTCGCCTAGCACACATGAGGCACTGAATTCGATCCTCAGCACCACATAAAAATGAAATAAAGTTATTGTGTCCACTTACAACTAAAAAATAAATATTAAACTAAAATAATGATCCATAGCAAGGTGGTCAGAGTTATGAATATTTCTATTTGGCTTATAATTCATAATTTTTGCATATTCTTGTCATTTTTTATTGTTTTCCTCAGTTTGCATACGTAAACATAGATGCAAATATTCATTCAGTATTAAAAAACCAGGCTGGGCATAAAGAAGAATGAAATTATGGCATTTGCCAGTAAATGGATGGAACTGGAGACTGTCAAGCTAAGTGAAACAAGCCAGTCCTCAAAAACCAAAGACCAAAGGATCTCTCATTAATACGCAGATCCTGATTTACAATAGGCAGGGTAGAGGGAGGAGTAGAGATTCACCAGATTGGACATGGGGGAATGGGGAGAAATGTGGAGGATGGGAATGGGAAAGACAGTAAATGAACTGGACATAACTTTCTTGTGTTCAAATATGATTACATGACCAGTGTAACTCCACATCATGTACAACCACAACGATGGGAAGTTATATTTTATGTATGCATGATATGTCAAAATACATTCTACTGTTATATATAACTAAAAAGAACAAATTAAAAAAAACAAACAGGGGCTGAGGATGTGGCTCAAGTGGTAGCAAGCTCTCCTAGCATGCGTGAGGCACTGGGTTCGATTTTCAGCACCATTATAAAAATAAAATAAAGATATTGTGTTCACCTAAAACTAAAAAATAAATATTTAAAAAAAAAATCAGGCTGGGGCCATAGCTCAGTCATTGGTAGAGCACTTGCCTAGCATATACAAGACTCTAAGTTCCATTCCCATCATTGCAGGAAAGAAAAAAACACTTTTGAAAGAGGGTTTTCATCTGGATACATATCATAATCACATCAAGATTTTTAAAGTTACAAAGTATCCAAGTTTGGGATAAATATACACAACACACACAGACACACATACTTAAAGAGTACATAGGATCTCTATGTTTTTTACAACAATGATCTCAAAATCAAAAATTAAATATATATAAATTTAAGCAAATATAAAAATTACATGTATTCTTCATTCATTTTTTCTAATCTTGCAAAATCATTGTAAAATATCACAACTAGGGTATTGACATTAGTATAGATTCAGAATATTTCTATAATAAGGACGCTCATATTGCCATTTTCCTCCTAACTTCATAACTCCTAGAAACCACTACCTATTCTTCATTTCTATAATTTTGTCATTTCAAAATGTTATATTAGAATGTTATATTAGAATGTTGTATAAATTTTTAAATGTGATAAGTACTATGTGCAAACTTTTGGCATTTTCTAGAGATTGATCCAGGTTGTTTTATATATGTCAATAGTTTGATATTTTTATTGCTGAGTGATATTCCACATTATGGCTCTTCCACAATTTGTTTAAACACTCACATTTTGAAGGACATCTGGGTTGTTTCCAGTTTGGGGTTATTATGAATAAAGTCACATTTGTATACAGGTTTTCTTATGAACACAAATCTTCATTTCTTCAAAGTAAATGCCTAGGGGGTGGGGATGTAGCTCAGTTGTAAAGCACTTGCCTAGCATGCATGAGGCCCTGAGTTCAATCCCCAGCACTGCAAAAAAATAAAATTAAATTAATAAAAATAAATGCCTAGGATTACAATTGCTGGTCCATATGGTGTTTGCAGGTTTACTTTTTTCAAGAAACTATCAAACTCTTTTCCAAAATTGCTATATCATTTTACATTTCTGCCAGCAAAATATAAGATATAGTTTTTCTACATCTTTGTCAGCATTTGGTGTTGTCACTGTTTTTTATTTTAGTTATTCTCATAGGAACATAATGATATTTTACAGTGATTTTAATTTGTATTTTTCTAATGGCTAATGATGTTGAACGATTTCATGTGCTTATTTTCTCTCTGTATATCTTCTTTAGTGAATTGTCTTTTCATTCTTAAGCCAGTTCTCCAATTGGATTTTTTTTTTTTTACTGTTAAGTTTTGAGAATTCTTTGTATAATCTAGATGCTAGTGTTTGTCATATATGTGGTTTGCAAATATTTTGGTTTTTTTAAAAAATTTTTTAATAGTTGTAGATAGACACAATACCTTTTATTTTATTTATCTTTTTATGTGGTGCTGAGGATCAAACCCAGAGCTTCACATGTGCTAGGCAAGCACTCTACCAGTGAACCATAACCTAAGCCCACTTCTCTGGTTGTTCATGAAGTAGGGTCACACCATTCATGCAGTTATACATGTACCTAGGGTAATGATGTCCATCCTATCATTTCTGAGAGTTTTTAATCATGAATGGGTGATGACTTTTGTCATAGTGCTTTTCCTGCATTAGTTGATATAATTGTGCTTTTGTTGATTGTTTTTAGCCTATTAATATGGTGGATTACATTGATTTTTTTAATATTACACTTATATCCCTGGAATAAACCCATTTTGATCATAGTATATAATGATTTCTATATCATTTAATTCTATGTGCCAGTTTTTTGTCATGGATTTTTATGTCTGTCTTCATAAAGAATGTTGACTCAAAGTTTTCTCAGGTTTTTACCAGTTGTTTCTTTTTCAACTAATATATATGGCCCTCAGAACAATTGTAATATGTCAGTTAAGTTTTATATTATTCAAAGATGATGTGTTATCATTAAATAAGCAAATAATGGATATTTTTTTGTCACACTTAAATATTGGCTTGATTTTAAAGTATAATTTACATAATACTATGCAGAAATAAATCCTACTATAGAATGAGGTATTTATTTATCCCATTCTTTATTTTCATTTTGTTGAAAGTGTTTTTAAGTTTCTCTTGAGATTTCTTCTTTAACCTACTTGTTATTTAGAAGTCATTTGTCTATAATCTCCAAGAACTAGGGGATTTTCAAGCTATCTTTATCTAGTTTCCAGTTTAATTCCATTATCCTCTGAAAAGAAAAGACATTGTATGATTTCTTTTAAATTTTGTTGATTTATATTTTGTTGTCCAGAATATGCTCTAGTTGTGGTTAATGTTCTGTGTAATCTTGTTAAGAATATGTAATCTGCTGTTGTTGGATGAAATAGTATGTATATTTCAGTTATATCCAGTTAATCAGTGATGCTGTTAAGGTCAACTGCATCCTGATTTTCTGTTCTCTGAATCTATTTCTGATACAAAGGTACTGAAGTCTCCAGCTATAATAGTGGGTTCATCTGTATCATCTTGCATGTCTTTCAGGTTTTGCCTCACATATTTTGACACTGTTTTGTTAGGCACATACACATTTGTGATTTTTATGTTTTCTTGGAGTAGTGACCCTTTTATCATCTTGTAATGCCTTTCTTAATCCTTGATAATTTCCCTTACTCTGAAGAGTAATTTTTTTTTTGTACAGTTTTTGCCTCATTTTTGTTTCAGGGTAATACTAGCTTCATAAAATGTAGTGTTCCCTTCTCTTCTATTTTCTGAAAGAGATTATTTAAAATTAGTGTTAATTCTTCTTTAAATGCTTGGTAACTTCTCCAGTGAAACTATCTGAACCTGGGGATTTCTCTTTGGGGAGTTTTAAAATTGTGAATTATTATAAATTAAACTTTTTCACAACTGTTTCACATTGAATGAACTATAGCAATTTGTGTTTTTTGAGTTGATCTGTTTTTGTCTAAGTCATCAAATATATGTGTGTAGAGTTGTTTGTAATATTCTACTATTTATCTATAAGGGCTGTGGTGATATACTATTTCAAACCTAATATTGGTAATTTTCCTCTCTCTGTTTCTTTGTAGAGATTTCTCAATTTTATTGATCTTTAGAAACCAGCCTTTTGTTTCATTGATATCTTCTATTCTTCTGTTTTCATATTTGTGGATTTCTATTGTTTGTTATATATTTCATTCTGCTTGTTTTTTGTTTTTGTTTGGTAGTGCTGGGGGTTGAATGAACTCAGGGCCTTGGTCATGCTGGGCAAGTGCTCTACACTGAGCTGCATTGGTTTTTCTTTAGACTCTTGAGATTTGATTATTAATTAGAGACATTTCCTAATGTATGTATTTAGTGCTATAAATTTCCCTCCCAGCAATTCTTTAGCTTTGTGCCAGGAAATTTCAGTATGTTTTACTTTTATTTTCATTCAGTTCAATGTATTTTTTAAAAATTTCCTTTGAAATGTCCTCATTGACCCATGTTGTTTAGATTTTAAGTGTTTGAAAGTTTTCTTATTATTCTTTTGTTGTTGAATTCTAGTTTGATCCCATTATAGTTAAAGGATATACTCCATATGATTTAAGTTCTTTTATATTTGTTGAGATTTGTTTTATAGCCCAAGATAAGGTTTCTGTTGGTATATGTTCCGTGAACACTTGGAAAAAGAAATGTATATTCTGCTGTTGTGGGTATTGTATTGTAAGAGGGGTCCGGTGGAGCGTCGGAGGGAGAGACCACACAAGAGACTGACTCC